CATTTATCTTTTAATTATTGAATTTGGGTCTTCTAAGTTGCTGTACCATAGAAAAACAATTCTGAGATTTTTTTTTTTTAAATAAAAACTCAGGAGGTGTATAGTAGCAGGCTTCACCTGTTTCATCACTGAATTCCACCTCCTTCCTTTGCAACATTGAAAGGCCAATTATTAATGGTTTAATGAACTATACCTATAAAATGGATTGGCATAATGTGTGAACCTAGTTCCCATGAGCTCAGTCAGAGAAACAGGGGAACGTCTAATATTTTTTACAGTCGTTTTTATTTGCCCTACATGGTTGCGCACATGGTCTTACATTTGGAATGAACCACAATAGCTGGGTTCATTCAACATTAAACCCCAAACAAGCACACCACATTAAGGAGGTAGGCTGTAGATTGTGTAAACCAGGCCAATCAGTTTTCCTTAAGCAGGAAAAACAATATGAAAAAGATGTCCAATGGTAAAGTATAGGTTTATCATTAACTATGGGGCAATGATGTAGCATGCAATACCTTAATGCTATAACTGTAGATAACTAAAATCATCTATTGAAACTCTCAGCCTAACAGGATTGATTAAGGGGGTGACTCCAAAAAGTTCTGTGGACAGTACAGAACATTGATTCCTTGTCACTACATGGACACATCCTTGTAGTTTAGAGAAAACAGAATATAGATGTGGTTTCTCCCTGCCTTCGTCCAGGATTTTTTCCCCCAATTTCCCAGTCAAGTCCACAACCCTATGATTTTCTGGAGATCTCCCACCCTATTAACAACTATATTTGATTCTGCTTAGCTTTTGAGGGGCTCAGTTAAAAGCAACTTATAGATGTATTCAATTTGCTGGCAATTATCCTTTGAATATGGGAGCTATCCTAGAGTTAGAATGGTGTAGAATGGCCTATCCCGAAGTTCCCTAATCCCAACCCTAAAGAAGGAAAGATAGAATATCAGCTAATTATGCCAGAATAAATATTTATCCTATCTAAAATGACTATTCTTCTCTACTTGAAAGATAAAGTATTGGGAGAAGACTTTTGTCTTCCTTTTGATATATATATATCATCCAGAAGGATGCCTAGTGAGTGTCTCCAGCTCACAAAATCTGCCTCCCCAAGCTTTTTGAATGCAGTACTCATATCTTCTCAGACTTTGCTGTAAAGCATATATGTGGTAAGCAGGACCTTTCTTCTTATCTGTGCATTCCTCCTCCTTGTACATGTATACGGTATAAAATGGATTATGGTTTTAAACAAATAAATCATTATACATGCTAGGTATGCATGTAGCGATTTGTCATGAATCCCTCTAAAACAGTGTTGTCCAAACTTGGCCAGTTTAAGATGAGTGGACTTCAACTCCCAGAAAACCCCCCCCCCG